GTTCTTGTCTTGGTGTACGCTCTCACGGTGCTCAATTTGACAGGGCTTCCGGCACATATTCACGAGTTCCTGCACGGCACTCGAGGTCACCTTACGTAGTATGAGGAGACTATTGGCTGGTGTAACAAGTATGTGGCAGAGCCTCTCGTATTTTCGACATAAACTGATACATAATTCCTGTAGTTTCTCGCTGTCAACTCCCTGCTCAGGTGAGCCTAAGGCGACTTCTATGCTGACCTTGGTTGCTTAATATACGACTTCAGTTCTGTTGAAGAGGATTCCAATCTCTCGCTTTTCAACATATTGTGCACTAGGCAGTTCACTAATGTAGAGGTACGTCATCCCGCTGTCATCGATGCAGCTCTGTAGTCAGCGGCCCACCATTTTTTCGCACCTGTGCATTTCTCCTGCTATGTAATGTATTACACCCGATAAATAATATGCCACAGTTGTATTTTGATTGGATCATCTGCGGGTGACTGGTCTGTCACGGAAGCGAACCGATATCGCAGTGGATTGATTAGTGTTATGGATGCAGCCCATACAATCATTAGTCGATCTGGCAATGTATCACAATAGTTGGTATAATATTATACCATGCATGACATTGTGTAGGCTGCTAGCCTCGCCAGCCTTGCATGCTCTCGATAGTCATATGGGCCTAGCTACCTATTTTGGCTCTTACACCACCCCGCTGATTTATCATCATGGCAATACAAGACTGTAAAACAATAGCGGTCTCTCGTAAGCTGGCCGGACCTTACAAGGCCATACGAGTACATGCATGGCCATACATAATGCGTTCCTTTTTGCTGATGTACCAACTGCAGAATCCCAGATCTGGTTTCAAATAGACAAGCCGAGCCACCAGTTGTGATGAGTCGCGACCGACCGACGCGGGGCGGGAGCGGGGCACGTGCGCCAGGTCTTGAGTCATCGAATGTATGCCATCCCGAGCGTTCCTCACTCCCAAGTGGTGGTCGCTTCCCTCATCCGGGGAGCTGAGCCACGGTGACCTCCTGATCGTCGACCACAACGATCACATATTCTGCACAGCGAGGACTTCATCGTCTGTCGTTATGTCTACACACGCTGCAGGTGGGACACCTCAGTCGGCCAAGCGCGCACCGAAGATGGTTTCCAGCCAGTCTCTGAACCATCTCCTCAACTTCACCCTTCCTCCGAGGCAGTCGCACCACAATCAGAGTTTGCCGCGCAGGAACAGGAGGTCCAACGCGCATCCCGCCATATGGAACAAAGAGAGTATGTCTGTCTTTCTCCGCTATCATCCTCTAGATACTTAATGACATCGCACGTTAAGGGTTTGTCAATGCTCAATATCGCTTTGTCATGAACCCCAGCGGAGATTACACTGTACACTTCGCGGACCCAGATATGTAGGCATATCAACGAGGTGATGTGTGGTTGTATGCTAACCAACCATACACTAGCTTTTTCCAATGGCATGACATTCTTCAGGTTATCGTCCCCCGTACTTCTGCGATGGCCTCTGCTGCGGGCTCGGGAGAACAAGCCTCGCATGAAGAAGGCGTCACGACATGTCCTATCTGTCTCTCAGCGCCCACGGCTCCTAGAATGACCAAGTGTGGTCATGTAAGTAACCTTTCACTATCTGGTTTGGCTTATGACACGACTGAACCGTGGTTCAGGTATTCTGTTTCCCCTGTATATTGCATTATCTTAACACCGCCGATAATCTCAAGTGGGTGCGCTGCCCTATCTGTTTCGACTCTGTCAACGAGAGACAGCTCAAGGGTGTCAAATGGTTCGACGAAGCTCCTTTTGTTCATGATGTCGATGATGCTCCAGCAGAAGGCTCGTCGACATCCGCCTCCAGTGACAACCTCCTCGTAGCGACACCTCGCCCCGGCTCTACTTTGCGCATGCGGCTCATTCAACGGCCCCAGATCACTACCCTCGCGCTTCCACGTTCTCAGACTTGGCCATCCGATCTTCTTCCACCTCATCAAGCACCCTTTCACTTCATGCCCGACGTCTTCGCCTTCGCGAAGTTTATGCTTGCTACCCCAGCGTACCTGATCGCGGATCTTACCAAAGATCTCGACGAGCTGTCTACAGAGAGGCGCATGCTCCATAGCATGGGTGATGAACTGAGCGTCATCTTCATCGATGCTGCGGTAGCGAAGGTCCAGAATCAGATAGCGAAAGCAGCAGCTCTGGAGACGCCGCAGTTGCAAGAGGCAGTTGACAATGCTCTGCTAATGCAGAAGCAAATTCTAGATCGTGCTTCGCTGAACGAAAGGCTCAGAAGAGAGGAGCGACCACCAGCTGTGCAACCTGAAGACGTCCCACAAGACTTCTTGGCTACTCAGGGTGGACGTGCAAACATCCCTTTCGTCGTCCCCTCCACAGCTCCAGTTATGTCTTCCGTGTTAGACACGCGCTCATCGACTCCGACGCGGGGCCCTAGGCAACGCAGGAATCTGAATCCGCCTCCACCGTCGACATCCACGTACTATTACTATCAGGCATCAACGGGCATGCCGGTCTTCCTTCATCCTCTTGACATTCGTGTACTCTTCTCCCACTTCAGTGATTATGCAGCGTTCCCGGACACTATTAACGTCCGCGTAGAGGCCTACAATGAGACCACCGTCAACGACGACCTGCGAAAACGCTGCAAGTATCTCGCGCACTTTCCTGAGGGCGCGGACGTTGTCTTTGTAGAGGCAGATCTCGAGGGAGTCGTCGGCGCAGAAGGTCTCCGGAATTTCGAGGCGCCGCTACGCATGCGTCGCTCCCGGCGTAAAGACAAGGAGAAGAAGGACGACAAGGCGCGTGCCCGTGCAGAAGAGCGCGAGAAGGAGAAACTTGCACACACGTGGATCGCAGCCGATCCCACTGTAGTGGCGCCCGTATTTCAGAGGCCCCCGTCGCCTTTAGAGACGGACCAGTTTCCGGAGGCCAGTTTGGATCAGCCTGCGCTTCAGGTGCAGCAGCCCACTGGTGCATGGGGCGCGCGAAGCTTTGCTTCGGCTGCACATGCCGCCTCGGGGCGCCCGCTCGGACAGCGGCCGCCCCCCATTCAGCGGGAGAGGGAGCAGGCGGAAGACGAGTGGGATCTAGACGTGGCCTTCCACGAGCTCGAGCAGAGAGGGAGCCGCGGAGGTGGGAAGAAACGGACGGCGAAGATGGTGGTGCTCGGGGGTGGCGGCGGCAGGCGACGGTGATATACGCGACATTTCATGGACGAAGGATGGTTCTCTGTATTCGCATCGTCTAAGCAGTAGATCAATGTGTAACAACAGTCATCGCCAATAGCATCTTATTCTACCTAGTACGCAGTTAATTGATGAGGCACTTTAGTGTTTTCTGTGGCATGTGTTGTACACGCACCAAGCGTACTGGTCTCGGCGAGCAGGCAAGAACGGGCTGTTGGCAATTTGCAGAGTATTGCGTTAGTATTTTGCGTCATCTGTGGTTGTAGGAGGTATCCCGCTGCTCACCTGAGACGAAGAGCTGCATGCTCAAAGAAACCTCATAGTCCCACGATGTGTTGTGGGTTTGCGTTGTGCTATATGCGCCTTTCTAGGAGTGCGGCGAAGCAATCTACCCAGGTACTATGACATACACAAGCACCCACAAACTGGCATAATTTGTAGATGTAATTATGGAACACTGAGCTTACGATATTCTCGTAAATCATTGACATAAGGTACAGTATTACGAATGAGCATTGCGTAGTCGAAGGAGCAATTCTTGCGTTTACAGCAAGACAAGTAACAGAAAAGCGAACGAAACGAAACGGGATAAGATTATAAACGAATGTGGGGGTTGGGGGAGGGGTGGACGATTCATTTCTTCTTGTCAGGTTCTTACCAATAAATACGACATAAATACTGCAGTCGACTAGGCCTGAGCTCCGCAAAAGGTGCCTACAGTGCCATGTCAGGTCAACGTGATGCATCTCTCTCCGAATGCAACGAGCGGTGCCGGAACCAGGATAGCTTACGACGCGCCGGCTTCTCGGGCGAGGGCTGGGTGGGTGCCGGGACACCCTGCTTAGGCGGCTCAGCAGACGCGCAGTTCCTCGTCTCGGAACCGCTGCGGCGGTGAATAATAGACGGCACCAGAGACTGCACCCGCCTATGCGCGGTAATACTGCGGACACACAGTCTGTCAAACTCGAGCATTTCATACGTCAGACCCTGATACGTACATCTTCTGCTTGCTTCCAGTCGGTGATGACCGTTCGTGGTCGTTCGCGGTGCTTGTTGCCGCCGGCTCCGGGTCGTGTCGCAGCGGATGCCACGACCACCTTCGCCTCGCCTTTTTAGCGGGATGCTCTACTGCCGTGTCTTCGCACGCCTTGCTCGGAGCTTGCGAATCCTCTGACGCCTTGCGCGGTGGAGATGAGCGCTCTGTGCGCGCTGATGCCCGGCGTTGCTCAAACGACTGCCTGTTCGCGGATGCAGCACCCCTGCGCTCGTCTCGCACTTGCCGAACATAGCGCTCGGCCTGGGGGGAGCCAGGGAAGGGGAAGAAGTAAGGAGCCTGATATGGGTCGGTCCGAGCGACGGGCGTAGGCGGCTTGCGAAGAGGCAGGGTATGACGTTTCTGCAAGAAATGACCCTTCGCCTTCGCCGCGACTGGAAGATGAAACATCACGGGAAGACCACACGTTTCAGGCAGGCGTCATACTCACCAGTCTCAGAAGCGACAATGGGTGACTTAGCATCCACCCTTAGTATGTCCTCGTGTTTGAGGGCGTCATTGTCCTCGAGAGAAAGTGGTGCCACACGCTTGCTCAGGGTCGCGTCCGCTGTGTACCTCCTCCTGGCCGGACAACGATCACAGACCCTCATCGTGTGTCGAGGAGACGCCTCTCCGTTTGATCCTCCTTTTGATCTTGGAGAGGCAGGAATCTCAAGGAGTTTGTTGTCGTGGGTGCTCAGTGGTAGCGGTGAAGAAGGGGTACGTGGCTGCGGGGTGTATGAGTAGACAGTGCGTGTCTCGACGAAGCGTACATGGACGCTAGCGGTCGACTGCACCAGCGTTGTGGTTGAACCTGTCGTACTCGGAGAAGTAAGAAAGTCTCGGGTGGTCACGTTTGCCTGGCGTGAGGTCGTGGAGACTTTCCGAACTTCGAGATACTGCCTCTGCCTACGGGTAATGCGTCTCAAGCGAATATCAGGGCGGCGTGGCGACATCCCATAAGGATAAGGGTTCGGTAGTACGTTACTAAGTGCAGCCAGTACGCTCTGTGATGTCTTGTCAATGAGAATGTGCTCGCGTTAAACGGTCGCTCGACATACCAAAAATGCACCGGCGAGGGCTAATGCTACACTTGCGATCCCGATGATAAGCCATCCAAAAACGGGCTTGAGTACATTCAAGAACATCCTGCGTCTGTGTCGCCAGCACACATATAGCAGTTGCGGGCCAATTGATTGGCATAGGGGACTGTCGGAGACCTCTTTGACGAAGAGGTTAAAGAATGGGCAAACCATACTGAGACATACTTGGGTATAGCGTGCGGATGAGCTCTGAAAAGGGGTGATGAATAAACGTGATGGGGGTTGGGGACTATAAGCCGGGTGGGTACGGAGGAGTCAGTGTAGCTGCGGGGGGACACAGGTATATAGCATCGCCATTCTGCGGGTCGGTTTTAATCATATGCGTGATCGCGAGAAGCTTGATGTCGCCGAGATGCGACGACTTGTTTTGAGCGTCCTGCCTTGCTCATCGGTAGCGCACTCCCCGGTGTGTCACTCATCATGACTGATGTGATGTAATGCCAACCCCAGACTGGGGTCACGTAGACCACAGCAACCGAAACTGAAACAACGGTCTGCTCACCCATATGCATGTCGAAAGGCTGAGGGGCACAATGTAACCTCCAACAACGCGCAATGAACCGAAGCTCGACATAGAATCGCCGTGTCGTGAGAGACGGCTGACAATGATCGTGTCCTGGGTTGTCATCTATTCATCCTTGCATAGCTTGAGACTGAATCACAATATCTCTTCATCAATTCACTTGCAGTCAGCCGCAGTTTTGGAAGGACTGTTGCGTCGTCATAAGTCAAACCTGCACCATCAACAGGTGGATGATCGATTCAGCGAGTCTGTCATATGAGTGCTTATATCACTGTCCAACACCAAGTCAAGTCGGAGGTGGAACCAGGGACAAAGTACTGAGTCTCCCTGTTACGGACAAGGACTGGCTGCGCGAATGGATGCGGGCGAGAATGAGAGGCGCAATGGTGGCTGTACGGTTGAAAGAAAGGCGAGCGCGCGCAGTGTGAGAACTTCGGAGAACGTGTTCGAGTCGCATCCAAGTCCCCTGCCCGTCGCTCCCGGACACCTTCAGCACGACCGACTAGACCTCCTCACTGTGGTCACACCGCCTCCGCAGGTGTCTTTGTATCTTCATTGACGAACATCAGCTACCTCATTCTTGCCTATAACACCATTACTCTCTGGCTTTCTTCAGCATGCCGCCCCGTGGAAGCGACGGTCTCGACTTTACCCCCATACTCACCCACTACTTGTTCCTGTTCACGTCAATTCTCGCTGTGGTGAGTTCGTCGACTTGCTGAGGTAGAGGCGCAACTGATATCTACGGCTGAAATCAGGTAGGATGGTTCCTGGCTTTCATCTCACAGGCCATAGCGACTGCCGATTGTAAGTTCCTTGCGAGCATCCTCGCTCACCCGCTGATCATTTTGCAGTCGGCCATGGCCCTGTCGGCGTGCTATGGTTTGCTATATTCCTGCAACTGTTCCTGATTATTGGCGTCCTGCACACCCTTGCTAGTGACTCGATCGCCATGAACCGCTTCCAAATATCTGTCTTCGGGGCCATTGCTGTCGTCTTCGCCGTCATCGGCGTCAACGAAGGCATTTTTTCCGGCTCCGCCTCGCTCGACGCGATGGCTGCCGGCTGGCTCATCAACGCTGTCGTCGACATCCTCTGGGTGCTCTACTTCACGTCTGAGGAGGATTCGCTTATGTTGCACATCTTCAACTCCCTCGGCACAGGCGGCCTCACACCTCCTTCCCGCCGTCGCAGGGCCCCACGCACGACCTCGATGCACACCATGGGTGCGGGCAACGGGTACCAGGCCGGCTTTACGGGGACGCCGGGCAGCGGTATCGGGCCGGGCTACGACACGAAAATGGCGAGCAGTCTCGGAGGTCCGATCGGGAGCGGGAACAGTTTCCATGCAGGCAGCGTCGAGGGCCCGCCGAGGAGCATTGTGGGCGCGGGAAGCATTAACAATGGCCCTGTGGGCAGCGGCCCGGGATCAGTACACGGGGACGGCGCCGTATCGCCTAATTCTCCTCTTATGGGCGGCGGTGCGGCAGGTGTTGGATCAGGAGGAGGGCCCCCGCCAGGCAGCCCGAACCCTGGGGACGCGCCTTTGGGAGGCGATAATTACCTATACCGGGCAAAGGCCCTATACGCATGTAGGCAGAATGACTTCTGTGGTCTTAACTTCCTGCTGACTGCATCTGTTATAGATACTGCATCCACTGATGACCCTAACGAGATTTCGTTTGCAAAAGGTGAGGTCCTGGAGATCATCGACAAGCAGGGCAAGTGGTGGCAGGCGAGAAAAACAGATGGCGAAGTTGGAAGTAAGTACCTGAATTCCTGTCTGTCTCGTCCAACAGGTCTGACTCAAGGGCATTAGTTGCACCATCAAATTACTTGCAGATACAGTAGGCTTGGCACTCGGACTCGGACTGTTTTGTTTATCTTCTTTCCTCTGGTGTCACGAATGCTCATGACATGCTATATCGTCACGCGATCTATCATTTCTCTTGTTCTCGCGTCGCCGTGTTATTTTTTTCCTATTCTCCCTGCGTTCTGGGATGATTGGGCACCTTTGTGATGGCCCTGTCATCTCTCCTTGTTGTTCTATGTGTATCTGCTTGATGGAACCAGTGCTTTGTAGAATATACTCTCGGGTCGATAATCGAGGCAATTTCACGTCGTGTGGATGCGAGCTAAGATTGGATGCTGATGACTACTGTTGTTGACTGACTGCGGGGAAACGATGTGAACTACAGATTCCAGAAGAATCCGTGTAAGTTATATGCATGGAATTTCACGTAAGATGGACCACATTGGTGGCGCATGGCCACTCCGGTGACAGGCGTGATGATCAAACGAGACGGCGCAGTCAGCATAGCTGGCTAGTATGCAGAGCTAGATCCCAATGACAGTAAAGACGAACATATTATCGCGCACGGCGCTTTACACGGCGGCATTACCTCGGCGCCTTGCGTTGATGTTAGCTCGCGATTGAATCTGGGGTGGCTGGGGAGAGATAAGATTAGATGGTAAATGCATTTGAGATCAAGGTTGACGCGGGCACGGAGTGGTCCGTCGCTTGCTCTCATCTTCACCCCCAAGACCACTCTGCGCGCATGGAAGTCTCCGCATCCGAACCACCGCATGGCCTTCCAGTAACACCCATCGTTGTCTCGGCGCATCGCTCGCCCGTCGGCAGCCCACCGCCAGCGACGACTGACGAGCGCCACAGACCATCAACGGCCCCCTCTTCCTCGAGGCTTTCTCCCCACCCGCAACCGACCCCGCTGCCCGGAGAGAGCATACCACGCGCCGGACCGTCTTCACGAGCGCCATCGCCCACAGCGAGTGTGAGGTCATCAAGACCGATGTCGCCGCATATCATAGACGAAGACGGCGCGCAATTACTGGGGCCTCCTGGGTCCCCATCCTCGACGCGGCCCCTGAATGTGACGGACGCGCTGGGCTACCTCGACTCGGTCAAAGCCCAGTTTCAGGACAAGCCGGATGTGTACAATCACTTTCTGGACATTATGAAGGATTTCAAAAGCCAAGTGTGAGTGTCGCTCACGATGTTTTTTGTTCAGCCACTCGGGCGTACAGTTTCTTCGAGGGAACGTATGAGCGTGCATGTCCTCTGTCCTGCGCTACGACGTGATTGTTTTTGTCTGTCTATCTCTCGAGGACTGTATGTGTGTCTGGTTAATGGTGTCATTTTGTGTGCCCGGGGACCAATGTTGGTGCACGTTCTAACTCCTCACCAGGATTGATACACCGGGCGTTATTGCCCGCGTATCCATGTTGTTCCACAGCAATCCCTACCTTATACAAGGGTTCAATACTTTCCTACCACCCGGTTACCGCATCGACGTGTCAACTGATCCTCAGAACCCGGGCATGATCACTGTTACGACGCCTACTAGCGTTGACGTACAGCACATATCCGCGTTTGGTGGACCTATGCGCATTCCTCATGACCATGTCCCGCCTAGATCTATCAACCTGGCACCATTCCCTCAGCCGCCGCCCTTTTCTCTGGCACCACCTCCAGTACTGCCTGTCGGTATCGGCAACGGGTCGCGGCCAGCGACCCCATCTCGCACACATCCTCCTCCTGACTATACATTCTCGCCCTCTATAATGTTCGCGCTTCCGGCAGCAGGCCCCCAGGCAGTCTCCGCCGCTTCATTTTTAGGCAATCTAGGCAACAGGACGAATGAGGGAATAGCAACAACTGGCGAGTTCAACCACGCTATCCAGTTCCTGAATAAAATTAAAATGCGATTTGAAGAAGACCCTGAAACCTACAAACAGTTCCTTGAGATTCTGCATGCTTACCAGAAGCAGCCGCAGGACGTACGTCACTATTGTTCATTTTCGGCGATTGGTCAAACTAATTGGTCTTGCTTGTCAGTCGCAAGTGTACGCCCAGGTGCAGACGCTGTTCAAGGACGCTCCAGACCTCGTGAACGAGTTCCGAGACTTCTTGCCGGAAGCCATTGGCCCTTCTTCACAACATCTTGGACTGGTCGGTATCCTGCCTCATCCTGCTGGTGGCGCAGGCGCGTGGGCACAAGCTGAGCCACCCGCACCGAGCGCGGAGAAGGTGACGAAAGCTCCTACCCGGCGAAGAAAGCGGCCTGCAGAGAAGGAAGCGGCTGGCGCACCGAAGGCAGCCGGAGGACGAGTGCGTAGATGCTTTCTCATGCAATCCATTGATGGTGTAATGCCCTCTGTTACAGGCTGCGAAACGGACAAAGCCCAACCAGAAGTCGGAGCCGCAATCGCCGAAGTTCTCATCCTATCCCGTCCCTGCGTCCCCGCCACCACAACATCCCCACCCAGCTATGGGTGTTCCACCGCATCCCCAGCTCAATCACCCGCATATGTTCCCGCCGCCTCCTACACCGAACGGGCAGGCACACTCTCTAGCCACTCCCGACGAACTTCTCTTGTTTGATCGGATCAAGAAGGCATTGGAGAGTGGGGGAACGTACGAAGAGTTTCTCAAGCTCCTTACCTTATACGCGAAGGATGTGATCGACACGAAGACGCTCATTGACCGAGCAGAGATATTCCTCGGGGACGGCGAGCTGATGGCCCAGTTCAAAGATCTTACAGGCTGGGATGACAACCACGGAAACGTGGAGTATGGCCCGCCGGGCAGCATCAGAACAGGGCCTCCGGACCCGTATGGAGCGAAGTTCGTCGAGGACGGACATGGGCCGAGCTACCGGTGGCAAGTCGCAAGCGTGAGTGCCTCCCACATGGTTGTGTGAACGTGGTCTAATCTGATCCCTCGATTAGGAAAAGTATCTTGCATGCTCTGGCCGGGGTCGACTGGAATGGTCCGTGCTGAATGACGAATGGGTTTCGCATCCGACGTGGGCGTCTGAGGATTCGGGGTTCGCCGCGCACAAGAAGAATCAGTACGAGGATATACTGAACAAGATCGAAGAGGATCGGCACGAGTACCAAACGTACCTAGATGCCCTCGGCTGTTTCATAGTAGTCCTCAAGTCCATCGAGGCCCGCCTCGACGAGATGACCGCCGAGGAGCGTGCTAATTTTAGATTGGGGCCTAACCTTGGTGGGCGGTCTCCTGGACTCTACAGGCGCATGTTGAAGAAAATCTACGGGCTTGATGGCACCAAGGAGATCCTGAAGGCGCTCCAAGAGTCCCCCGCTGCCGCTGTGCCGGTGGTATTAAAGCGGCTCAAGCTGAAGGACGATGATTGGCGGCACTCGCTGCGGGACTGGAACAGCACAGAGTGGAGACCTGGAGAGACGAAGAATTTCTACAAGGCTCTTGACCACCAGGGCATCGTCTTCAAGGCGAACGACAAGAAGTGTATCACGGCGAAACATTTCGTGCAGGACATTGAGGGGGCGAAAGCCTCCCTAGTGAAGGAGCGCGAGGCCAAAGGCGAGCAGCCCTGGTATCATGGCTCCGTTGGACCTGCGCTCGAATTCGAGCTCCAGGACACAGGCGTTATCCAGGATGCCCTCAAACTGATATTCTCATTTCTCGACCATTCTCCATCGACGTACAGCACGGCCGAACGGCGGAGCATGGAGCGCTTCCTGAGACAGTTCATCCCCGCGCTACTCATGTTCTCATCCCACGAATTCAACGCAGCATGTGGGCCGCTAGAACCCGGGCACGAAGACGACCTCGCGGACGACTCATCGGCGGCTGTCGACGGAACGGAGGACCAGAGGAGCGGACGGGACCGCTGCGGGAGACGCCAGGCGAGTGGCGGACATTCAACTGGCGTGTCGCCTGGCGATCTCAGGAAGCGGCTGCTGAAAACGGCCCAGGAAAGGTCGCCACGCACCGGAAGCAAGGCGCTATCGAGCAAATCAGCTGGTATGACCCGCTCGAATTCCCCAGCCCCCAGCGATAGCGCGTCGACGTCGGCTAAGCACCGGGGCTCGAAGCTCAACCAGGAGCTAGACGTCGAAGACGAGGGCGCCGTGCGTGCGCACGACATCTGGATCCAGGACGCTGTGGACGAGCAGGGTAACGCCGCAGGGGACACTCCGACCACCCGTCGGCCTTTCTTCGCGAATACAACGTTCTACACATTGTTGCGCCTGCTGCAGGTATGTCGTAATTTAATTTCATCATGGTGCGTCTGACAGACAAGCCGCACGACGCAGCTACTCTATTCGCGGCTATTTATGTGCAAGGAGATAGGCGCACAGCTGGCCGCACAAAAACACGCCTCGTTGCTTGCGAATCCCGTTGCCGTAGATGTCGGATTGGACGAGCCGAATGGTCCTCCGACCGTGCTCGCACAAATTATCGAAGCGTTTGGCGAGAGCAGGTCGGGAGAAGAGCCCAACGTGCTGTATCTGTATCTGCTGGACGCCTGTGAGAAGTTGTTCGACAGCGAGATGGATCAGGCGACGTTTGAGGAACATATGCGCTGGTTCTTCAGCACGAAGGTAGCGGCTGTTGCACACGAGTTACTGGGCCGCACTGACCGCTATTTCAGGCATATCATCTTTTTACGTTGGACAGGGTGATCATTGCTATTGTTAAGCAGGTGCGCTATACCCCATATTATTAGCATGATGCCTCTCGATCGCCCGCTCGTGTTCGGCGGCTGCCCGCTCCCCCAAGAGCCCGGGCGACGCGAAGCGACGGCGTTTCGTGTATTTGTGAGCTAGATGCTGGAAGGTTCGCTGACGGATTTGGATATCGAAGGTACAAACCATTATGTCCGATAACAAATGCCAGGAACTCTGGGATTTGCTGCAGCAAGCTCGCGGAGCTGAGACCATTACAATACACGATACCGTCCGATATAGAAGGGAAGCCGAACGGCATGTGGGCTACGATGATAATCTGTACCGATTCGATTGGGTAAGTTACGTTGTTCAGCATCCGGGAGAACCTGATTGACGCGGTCATAGGACGGGGAAGCGAAGAGGCTGACAGTGCAGCTCGTTGGTTCTTCGGATCCCAGCGTGGAGGAGGACGTGAATGGTGGCGGACGATTGAAGGAATACGTTGCGACATATGTAATGGAGCGCCCTACGGAGTGGCAACCTGCAGGACGACGCAAGAGCGGCTCTCTATTTTTGAAGAGGTGCGTAGCAGCTATTTCGGGCTGTGAATTGTAGTATGGCCGGGGCTGAAGACCGATTGGCGGTATTTATAGGAACGTGATAGATGCGGGTGAGAAGGGCGAGGTGGTCGAGAGGAGCGCGGGGATGCGGGTTGCGGTGCAGGGGTCGTACAAGCTGCTGTACGAGTCGGGGCGGGAGGACGGGTTGTGGCGGCGACGCGGGGTTGCGGAGACGGCGTCGCTTGCTCGGCGGGCGGGGCAGCGACAAGAAGAAGGCCGGCGGCTACTGGCCCGGCAGGGGTGGGCGTAGCGTGGGAGCGGGTTGCTAAAGATAGGCGAAGTATTTATAGACTGTGTATAATTGGCGTGGATGGGTATGGGATTAATTTTGATATGGAAGAGGGAGACCCGGTATAATATTGGTCTATCTGTTGCACCTGCCCCCTTCCTCCAGCCAAGCCCTGGCCCGCCCGACGCCCCCGCTCTGTCCGCATCACTTTCCTCGGCGTGCGAGCCGCCAAGCTGCACTCAGCCTCCATGGCCAAGCCGCACGGGCCAAGAGCCACGTCCTCTGGCTCACTCCCTCTCACTCCCCCCTCTCACCCACGACAACGACGACGACGACGACGATCCCCCGCTCGTCCCGCCCCCTCGTCCTCCCTCCTCGCCCTCTTCGCAACCGTCGCCGCCTCCGCCTCCACTGTCGACGGCCATCCTCTGCCCACGCAGACACCCCCACCCGAGTTTCTCTGTCCGCAGCTTGGGGTGGCCCCGTGCCTCGCTTCTCCGCCGCGCAGAAACGTCTCGCAGGCGCAGAGCGCCTCATCATCCACCATTTCCGAGCTGCCCTCCAACTCGACGCTCAGCTCGAGATCGCAGCCCGTCGCAGACAAGTATGTGTCCTGCGAGGACGGCCGTTGGCGGAAAACAGACGTGTGGACACTCTATGGTTCGACCTTTTGTCAGGTAAGCACTCCTCTACCCTCGCAGGCGTTCCACGTCTGAGACCCAAGCAAGGACAACATTTGCACTGCCACTCCCACGGGCACATCTACTACAGTCGCGTGTGGCGTGTCCCCCTCGGCTTCATCCACAGCAACTCCCACTTCGTCCGAGGCGCTTGCGGATGACCTCTCAGAGCAAATCTCCGCCTACCCCTCTGGCTGGCTCAGCTCTAAGACTGTGAAAGACGATCCCCTCACGCCGGTCATCATCTCTCTCTCAGTTATTCTGGCTCTCGCGATCTGCGTCTTCATAATTCTGTGCGTAGTCTGGAGAAGGCGCAAGCGGCGACCAAAGGATCCGGAGAAGAGGAACCGCATGCGGGACCCCGGCGCGGGCGAGGAAGAGAGCATAGAGCTCAAGCGTCTCCTCTCACAGCAGCGGCTCTGGGCAAAGGCGACTGCGCGATGGAAGGCAGGCGTTCGCCAGTCCTCCCGAAGGCGCTGGAAGCGCCAGCCGGCGGGCATGAAGGACGCCGACTCCCAGCTGCTCAGCCAGGTTTCCTCTCATTCCTCGTCGACTTCACTTCATCGAACCTACACTGCGTCCTCCTCGCGCAGCGCAGCGCTCAGTATTAGGTCTTCGCGTCAAGACGCATTGACAGATCTCCCAGAGCCTGCACCAATCGCCTCACAACCGGATCCTCATCAGCCACAGGAGCCTCCCGCATATCTGTCTGATACGTCAGGTACGGCATATTCAGCGCTCGCCAGCGTCCAGGGGATGAGTCTTTCCCGGTTGGCTGACACACGCCATGCCACGGACAATGCAGCAGCGTCTGGGTCAGGTATCCTTGAGCCGCCTGTGTCTGATGATCATCCCTTGCCATACAAGGACTTCATTCACGCAGGTCACGTCGCCACGGACGATAAGGCACTGCTCGCACGGATGGCTGCTCTTGCTAGTGCTCCTCCCACCGTCGATGCTGCGTCTCCCACCGGTTCCTCCAACCCGTCTGCGCTGTATGCCTGGGTCCCACCGCTCGAGGATGAGTTCGAGGCGGTGCCGTTTGACCTGCGGATTGTCGATTGCGACACAGACGCAGACGTGGGCGGAGCGCTCTCCGGCAATCGGAGGTCGCCATCACCGATGCTGTCGATCACGCCGTCATACTCACGTGATATGTCGCCCTGTCCGTCCGTGTTGCCTCCGCCACCCGAGAAGAGCCGCCTCGCCGCGCCCGGGTTCTACGAGTATCCACCGTCGTTCGAGGAAGACCTGCTGGATGTCGAGCCTGAAATGGAGCCCTCAGCACCACCGTTTGGCGAAGATGATATCGCAGTTGCGAGCGCGCCCCCGTTGGAGGATGCCTCCGAGCTTGCGGAGGTCATTGTGCTGCCTTCGGCGCCACCACTTGATGGCGCGGAGATGGAGGACACATATGCTACTGCACCCGAGTGGGATACCCGGTCAAGCACGGACAACGCGCGCGTCGAGCAGTCTCTGCCGCTGAGACGGACCACAGGCCGTCTACATACCCCCGCATGGAACGGGAGCCCCCCAAGCTACCTTCCCTAACACCACCTCTTAATTTCGAATCGGACTCTTCTCGGATTGTAACAGCTAACGCCGCAGGTAGGCTCGTCCGCCTGCAAAATCTCCTTGCTCGTCTTATCCCATTGTAACACGTTGGCCGTTTTGCACTTTGCACGTAGGTAGTCGGTTAGCCACAGCTGTCGAATTGTTTTGGATATATACTCGGGTACTGTCGGTCGTGTCTGGCGTGCTTGCAGAAGCTACTTTATACTAGGTTCCGAATCATCGCTAGCGCGGGAGCGGTAATGAATAACAGAAGAGCATCGTTGTGCATGTCGTGTTGCGTGCGTGCTTGGTCGATGGTCGATTTCCACACGCTGGGGGCCATGTGAGCGAGGCAGTGCAGCAAACTTTATATCGATCCCGAAGTCGAACCTTCTTGGTTTCGATTCGAAGTGTCCAGTATAATGCCCGTTATGAGCGCGTAACTCCATATGTCTGCGTTTCCTGGGCTGAGTAATCCAAGATTGGCGTTTCGGAATACACTGGAGCCTGGGGCATCCGGCGGGACCGGTAGATTTGCAAGTGGAAGGATGTCAGTTTCTAGATCCGTCTGCGCCTCATGGCGCGCTCCGAGAACGAGTGGCCGTTTCTGAACTCTGTGTGACACGACATAACGGAAAGTACTACTAGGAGGTAATGCATACTACGCTGAGCGGAGAACACGTGCACCAATCAAAGGGCTGCGATCATCTCGAGCAATTCGGGTTGCAAGATGGTATTAAGGGTTGAATGTCTCGACGCTCACCCGGGCCCTCAGACGACGTCGACAAGTCAATTTCGATGCTATTAAGGTGAGAGTTCATGCATGTCTACTTTACGTGCTTTTAATCCACCTTCGACAGATCTTCTCCAAAGATTGCAAAGATTGAACAGTTCGCCGTGTCATAATTGGGGAACACCGTGCAGTAGCTTATCACGTTCTATCAGGCGCTGCAGAAGCGTCCGCGATCTTACCACATCCCGCATCTCGAGCAAAGTGTTAGATCAATTGACAACTGTGTCCAATCATATTGTCCTGACACTCGGACAAAGTACGTACATCATCTAAGCAGCTCCTGCTATTTGTAACATCATACACAGCCATAGCATCTGAATGGAAATTTTGATTGTAACACATAGGTCCAGAAACTACTGGAACAGAAGTGCTTACCAAGAGCAAAATTGACTCCCATCCCGATCATCACCATCCACATAACAGTTAGATACCTTGTTGGACCAATGACCGACAAAGATATCAACCCATAAATGATTAGCCTTGAAAGGCTTCTCCATCCATTTAACGCACCAGACCATGAATCAACTGATCCACAATCAAAATGCACCAAATAAATGAAACTCAAGAACAATCAAAATCCCCCGACAACACATGCCAATACTGCAACAGCACAGTCATCACACCCCTCGGTTGCAAGCAGAGCCAAGAAGAAAGGGCGACAAAAATAAGATAACCATGAATGGAGGCAATGCCTCCATAATAGTGGTTAAACTATTAAGAACAGATACTACACTTGATCTAAGCCAAAAGGCCAGAGTGGTGAGGATTTTATTTCTCGCCCTCCTCCTCATATATCTTCGTCATACCTGCGCACGGACCACACGACGGAGTGTTTCCCAATATGGCAAGTGCTGTGGTTCGACACTCCCGACGAAGATCGTGAACACTCTTCCATAATTTGATCGGTGGATGTTCATTACAACGTGGGTTAGGATGTCCGGCAGTACCTACGTTACAAATCGAAATAATTAGACATGTCTACTATTTGTACAAATTCTAGGCGGTAGGTCCATTGTCCTGAAGGCGCAATTAATCGTTGACGTTGAGCGAAATATATAGTAACTAACGTATGAGAGTATAGCTCATGTACGTCTCATGCCTTCATTGTGTTTATCAAGGTAAATCGTACTTCAAACTGGAGTACGAAGGACGCGGAGGGAGGTTAATATCGGTGTCGGTAAAAGTAGACATCAGCTCAGTGAGGGTCGAGGGTGGGGTGATGCAGTATGCCAGCTTTGGAGATCGTCGAAGACTATAGCCTGGCACCGTAGAGGTCACGGAGTGATCTGCAACCTGTCCTTCTCCCGATTGACGGTCAAAGGAACTGGCTCCAGGCCCAGGAGAGTGGTCGTCCTTATACAACGGTCTCAGACCCGATGAACGCTTTGAGAGCGGGGAGCCCGTGGCGACGATCAGCGAAGGTCCTGGTTTAGGAGCGGACATTTTCTCCGCACGCAACCTAGCAGAAGGGGTTCTTGTGAATAGTTCCATGAGTCTGGTTTTCTTCTTGCCATGAGTTGGATGGAGCAAGCCCGGCGAACAAGAGAACCGCAACGGGGTGAAGAATCGTCCTTCTGACGCGCTCGCATCGAGGGCATTGTGCACAAAGTACTCGAACTTCCACCGCAAGGCGAGCGGCGCCAAGCTAGCCTGTACATCGAATAGCTCGACTCCCGAGACACTGTAGACGCCATCTTCATCCGTGGGCAGCGACGCAACCTGAGAAATGTAGTCCTTGGATTCGTCCCCAGCCATTGTTAGCCTTCGCAGAGTGAGCGTGGCATCGGTCTTGCTGACAGCGTTGACAAGAAATTCTTGTCGAGTCACGGGCATGAAGTCAGCAAGGCCGAAGGTTAAGGCGTTCACCAGGTAAGCCTCATGGTCTTCTGATGAGTCATTGGTATATCCGGTGAGCTTGAAGACGGGACGGAACGTGCGTGAGTTATCTTGGTCAATCCAGAGTTCAAAGTGCGTGCTGCGTAGCCATCCCAGCGTGCCGGGGAGACCGGAGAAGTGCCGGCTTCCTAGATTGGGAGACGCCAGAGGGCTGGAAATACAACTCGAGCGGACCGAGCGTGTAGAGCGAGCCGAATGAGAAGTTGCCGTAGACCCAGTGCGCTTATGTGACATTGCCGGGCCATCAAAAACGGGAGACGCAGGAGTGACAGGATCCGAACTGGGTGCACTGATGGTCAAATCCTGCGAAGACAAAATACTGGCGCTGGTGGGCAGAGGGGAGCAGCTTCTTGCTTTGCGTATTCCCATCAGAGAACGTAGTCCACTGGCCTTGGAAAAAGACGGATCTGGACAGTTCGTGTTCGAGGAAGGCGATGGAGACAGCATATTTGCATATTCACGGATACTGGCGAATAAGCTTGAATGAGACCGCGACACATTCTTGTAGTGAGGACTAAGGCCGACGGAATTACCGCGGATCACTGCGTTTCCCATTGATAAATATCCCTGAGAGCCAGAGCTTGACGGAGAGAATACGAAGGAGGTGGAGCATGGAGAGACCATAGGAGAGGTCGCCGCTGAACCGAGAGGTGTAACTTTAGGCGACCGTATTGGCGAATCGCCGTGAGTGAATGCAGGGGTAGACGTCCAGTCATAATCATCGTAAGCTGCCGCCGAGACAAGACAGGCAGAGGCTGAGAAGTGCGATCCTCTGCTAGGTGAAAGGCGGTCAGAGTCAAGGCAGTCACTCTTCGGCTCTGTAGCTGTCGTCGCCCTCGAGGCATGCCGAGGGCACATGTTCGCGCTCGACTTGAGGCAATTATGGGGGTCCTGACCATCATACAGCAAATCCTTAGAGTCCAAGGCCATCAAGCTTGCGGGTCCGAGGGGAAGGCCCGGTTCTGTTCGTTGACAGCGGGTGTCGGCCTCTTGAGTTGAAGACATAAAGTCGTCCTCGGGCGTAGGATCTAAGCCGGTGTCCAAGATTATCGGTATCTCTCCGAAGCTGCACAAAGACGAGATTTTTTCGGGCCCGACAGATGGAGATGGGCTGGGAGGCATCAGGGAATCTAACTCTTCGAGAGCTGCCCAATTGGTGGGATGGCGACAAGCGCCAGAGTCAACGGGAAACATTTTCGGGATGAAGAGTCAAGTTTTACAAAGGGAATGTGTGTATATTAGAAATGTCGTTGTCTAGCAGTGAAGAGGTAGGCAGGTGGTGTTAGCAAGCCTGCGAGTTCAACGCGCTCATGCCGCCGACGCGTCGAGCTCACGTGCCTATCTCGGGTGACAGCGTCTGGCGTTGCCGGTGCACCGTCGACTCGCCCAGCTGTCTCGTCACCGTTTCCCTTCTCCTAACCAATGCGTTGAACTTAACGTATAGCACAATGGCCTCCAACATCCAGGAGATTCGCTTTCGGCGACCTCTATCCGCAAAGCCGACGCCTGTCGAGAAACCCAAGAACCGGCATAGTGGGATCCTGCAGGACAAGCTGCGAAGGTCAGTACAATATATGCTATACGCAACTTATTTGAGAAGCGCATTGGTTTAGGTCGCAAAAGGCGCCATGGTGTCCGTCGTTTTCCACGGCAGTAAAGATATTCCTACTCGTCCGGGTGGCGGGTGCAATGTACTCGAATATTCAGGACTGTGACGAAGGTACGCGGCCACAAAGCCGCACACTTAACATTGGCACGGACACTGAATCGTTGCCTATTTCTCTAATGAAGTGTTCAATTTTTGGGAGCCCTTACATTACCTCGACCGAGGGTACGGATTTCAGACATGGGAGACCTCTCCCGTGTACGCTATCCGTAGTTGGGCGTACATCTTCATGCACCTCCTACCCACAAAGCTGGCGACAACGCTCATAGGCCCAGAAAAGGTCAGTGCACACAGACGTGCAACATGCTAGCGTACTAGAGACCAACCAGCTGCTCTCAGAGGCCTGCGTTTTTTGCTATCCGGATCTTTCTAGGCATGATTTCAGCGGTCTGCGAGACATACCTCTATAGAGCGGTGGTAGACAAGATCAACTATCGGGCCGGACGGTACCTTCTCTTCATGCTCCTCTTCAATGCGGGAATGTGGACAGCGTCAACGGGTATGGACTGTGCACCCTGCAGCATTGTTCTAGCTACTGAAAGCTACCAATCCAATAGCGTTCCTCCCGTCCTCCTTCGCCATGTATGCGAACACTGTAGCATACGCTTTCGTAATCGAGCCAACAAACAATACGAATATACGTAGAACGCTCTTCGCGACCCTGGCCTTCGCAGCCGGTGCAATTGTCGGATGGCCATTCTCCCTCGCTATCGCTATCCCGTTCGTCTTCGAGGAACTGTTTATATACGGAACTGACAAGGTCACATCGGAGAATAAAACCACTTGGACCATCGCCCGATGGACAAGAATGCTCAAATGTGCCGCGACCGCTGCATTGCTACTTGTATGTTCCCCTTTCCTACCATGAGGACAATGCCTTATTTGTCCTAGGTCCCGGTTGTCGCCTTGGACACGGTCTTCTACGGCAAGCTCACGATCGTCCCTTGGAACATTATCAAGTACAATGTCTTCCCCGACGAGCAGCGCGGGCCGGACCTGTATGGCACGGAACCCGCTAGTTTCTACATCTCGAACCTCCTCCTAAACTTCAACGTATTGGTCCCGCTCGCACTGGCATCGATCCCGGCACTAGCTATTACATACGCTTTCGACCGCAAGCGTCTTGGCGAGCGCACGATTTTCGTAGACCAGAGCTCTCCGTACACCCTCATGGTGATCAGGCTCATTCCAGTGTATCTCTGGTTGGGCGTCATGACTGCTCAGAGTCATAAGGAGGAGCGCTTCCTCTTCCCTATATACACACTCATCTGCTTCAATGCTGCGATCACGGTATACTTGATGAGAGGCTGGTTGGAAGTGGCGTACGTACACGTCACAAAGTCGCCGTATCGGGTGAGTACTCATGGGTCGGCTGCAGCAATGGTACTCATGCAATACTTATAGGCATCTCGCGCGACGCTCTTCGGCAGGTTGACACTTTCTATCGTATCCGCGTCGTGCATTTTGTCGATCTCCCGGATCATGACCCAGTGGAAGTACTATCACGCACCCCTCACGATCTTCCATGCACTCGAGGCCGACGAGATTCCTCGTATACTCAACACCACGGGACATGTGTTCATACCACCGCCGACAAACGATACGAGACGCATCGAAGACGACGAGCGCTACCCCCGAATCGATCCCTCGTTGGTTAAAGAATTGGGCCTGCGACTCTGCGTAGGCAAGGAGTGGCACCGGTTTCCAGGGCATTACCTCGTGCCCGATGGCGTGCGCGTTGAATGGATAAAGAGCGAGTTTGACGGGATGCTTCCTGCTCATTTCGTCGAGACGCCCAAGGCATGGGGTATCCCGGCGAGAACGCAAGGCACCAGGGTCGTCCCATCTGGGCTGAACGACCTGAACAAGGAAGCACCAGAACTCTACGTATGTATTGCGACTTGTCAAATGGAACAACGGAACTAACACGTCGGATCAGGCGGACGTATCGCAATGCGACTATCTCGTCGATCTGGACTTCCCGTTGCATCCCATTGAGTCCCTTCACGAGCCGCGTTACGCCGTGGATGAGACAACATGGGATCGGGTCAAGTGTCTGCCGTTCCTCGACGCACGTTACTCGTCGACGCTGACCAGGACATTATGGATGCCTGGTCAGATGTGGCAACGAAACAATGAGTATGGGGACTATTGTCTACTGAGGCATAGGGAAAATGTGAAGATCAAAGAGCGGATGATGACGCTGAAAAAGGACGTGTAGAAGAAAAATGGATAATGTAGCATGTGCGTAAGTACGATATAGGAACAGCATAATAATACTCCATAATTTACCAGCTGCAGAATGGCTTTGTTATTCACTCATAGCTCCGCCGACCTGTCAGCTTTGTCAGCACTTGGGCGAGGAGGAGCATGCAGCATGTCATGCGTCATCACAGTTCGCAGCTTCGCGGAAGGAAATCGCCTGATCCGGTGGTGTTCGTCTCGATATGGCAGGTGTCCTAGTTCATTTCGTCGGCCCATTTTCAACCAGGCTCGTCCATATGTCTAGGGTATGTTCCTGCATCACGGACCTGAAACGATGCGCATTGACTTGTTGAGCATCTCGGAGACTCCAATAAGTGAAGATCCGGTATTGCCGTTCCTTCTTTGCGTCTACTGGGGCGCGCCCTACGAGCGCACTACGGTGACTTACCCGCGGACTCGGTGACCCATTCACGGAAACTTCGACCGAGCATGCGGTGCGCAAATCTGATGTGGCCGGGGACTGACGTCGAGGCTATTTAGGGTCAATCGAGGAGGATTGTGGCAAGGCCGGCGACCTACTTCGGGAAGGCGCTGGCAGGCGACGACCTAAGAGAGCAGCCTTCTACCCAAATAGGGCATTGTTGGATGATGCCGTGTGCCCCAAGCAGCATCTCGAATTTCTCGCCCTTCCAAGTGCCGGCTTCTGTCCGCTCCCAGCACGCCGTCTCCGCCCCACCCCTGTTTTCATATAACTTCTTTCCGTTCCACCACCATCCCCGCTGGCCTTCCCCCCTCCCGCCCCCTAGCCGCCCGCACCACGCCCCCTTTTCCCCCTTCTCCTCGTCGAGTTTTGGACCGTCGTCGCCTACGCGTGCATCGACGCTACTTATACCTGCCTGTTTGTCACGATGGATACAGGATCCGCCGAGCATTTTATTTTCGTGTACGCGTATCTTGCGTCCTGATGTTCTCGACCCTGACTGATTTTTCGCGCCCTGTAGTACGCAGATCCACTTTTCTGGTACGCGTGTATCTTCACTATCCAGGTACTTTGACGTACTCATCATGTGTTCCGCTGACAGCAATGTGTACGTTGATATTTTTCCTGAACGAAGAGTGCTTCTAACCGTCTCACAGATGCAATTTTGGTTTGGGATTGGCTTCTCGCGCTTCCTAGAGAATGGCGTTTTGTAAGGGCTACAGCGACGTCTTGAAACTGTGAGGCTGATACTTGTCACGCGTCAGATCTGGAAAACGAGCTGGACGCCAGTCAAAATCGCGTACTTGTTTTGCAGGTCAGCATCTATCAGGTCTTTACTCGATCATACAGTTTACAAGACTGTAGATACTGGGTACTGGCAGTCGGCCCAGTCCTTCTGTGGTCATTCGTCACCAATCACACGTATGAGACGTGCCAGAAAATATACAGGGTACGCCGATCGTTTTGAGACGCTCCTTGGACTACAGAGATGCCGCCCCGTTTTTGCTCCGGAGGACTATGCGACAGAGTTGTTAATTGCTCTCTCGCAGATACCAGTCTCTCTTGCTATGTGGAACCAAGCGGGAGCCGAGGCCATTCTCCTCATCAGGACTTACGCATTCTTCAACCGTAACAACTATATCCTCGCCTTGCTAGTTTCGGCTCTGGGTGGAGTCGTTGCATACCAGCTCTACGTTGCTACCACACAGATGCTGCGTGCGTGTCCTTGATTTCAAATTCAGGACGTATTGTATGACTGATCTTTAATCAGTGCTTCCTATCGTAACCAAAGGGGTATGTCCCTCCTAACCGTACTCCAGAGGCCGCATAAGATATGTATGTCAAGGGCGATGACTTATCGTAGGAATGGCAGCAGGTTGCATCGCATACTCGTCGAACTGTTTCGAGTTTGCGGGGCATCCTGTTGGTTTATTTCTCTAGATGCCCGGGCAAGCCCCTTCTGCGGTCCCTGGAGCACAATCCTCCCTCAACAACCGAATTTTTAACATTCTTCCCTGCTAGGCAAATGGACCCTGTTTTCCGGCGTCAAAACCTGGTTCTGCAGATCTGCTAGGTGAGTTAAGCTTAGTATATGCGTTTTCGTCATCAATACTGAGTATGTATTCCTGCATAGGCTTTTTTGTGAGTTGGGCTACCCAGTATGTGGTCGTCTATTGAAATGTTGACCGCACAATAGATCGCGCCTCTCATGTACGATACTATGGTCACCATCATGACAATCGGCAAAGCCGTAGCCATGCGCCGCCGCAGCGGAGGGCCCAACAGTAGACTAATTCAGACATTCTTGCGTGAAGGTATGCCTCATGTCTGGTGAGGACGTACAGCTATTGACCCAAATGTTTGACAAGGCGTCTTCTATTATCTGTTGATATCCATTGCCAACCTGGTGAGTGTGGAGCACGCATACACGTGTTATTTCATTAACTCATTACCCGTGAAGGTGAATGGAATCTTCTATCTCCAGTGAGTGTCAGCTACCAATTGGTGTTGCTCATCTCAATGATGTCGCAGACCGCGACAAGACATGTCCGCCATTTGTATCCCATTGAGCGTACTGCTCGCACCCGTTCTGGCCTGCCATCTCATACTCGATCTTCGCGAGCGCGGTTCCGAGACGGTCTCCCAGTCGGCCGGTACAATCGCATTTACCGCAGGTGTCAGCTCCAGCAAGTCGAATCTCGGTTCTCCTTTCTCTGGACTCGGTTTCGGTTTCGGCAGCCCGTCGAGTGCCAAAGGACTAGTCCGTCCTACTGGTGTAGTCCTAAGCACGATAGGGAGTATCCCTGTGGAAGGCATGGCGATGTCCAGCGGCCTCGAGCTCGAAAATCTTGAAGCATATGCATCAGACGGCGGTTCAGTGGACAAAGACGTAGAAATGGGTCTAGGGAGCACTGTGAGCGGAATTCGAGTAGAGGTGGAGAAGACAACAATGTGATCGCAAAAATTCCCTTGTTGAGTTGTGTCTGGTCATATTCTATCGACCCTTTCTTCCGTGGCTTTTCGTATCTCAGCAGCACTCTACCTTGTCCAGTACTCGTGGCCACCTTCTACACATCCTCATGGTTTTGCACCCCTCGCATTGCACATAATTGTTCTCAATTGTATTCACAGGCTGCATACTGTATGTTGTCGCATCGGTAATCGATATTTTCGAAGGAGTTCATCTTAGTCGCGAACAGTAGTGGCGGATGAACTCCGGCAGCAAGATTTCGTACGGTGGAGAGTCGACTCTGGTATTTGCGCATAAGCGCCTGGTCCGTGCGCAGGTACGACGAAGGTATATGAGGAGGAGGGCGACAAATAAAATGCTCACCACTCTGGCCTTTTGGCTTAGATCAAGTGTAGTATCTGTTCTTAATAGTTTAACCACTATTATGGAGGCATTGCCTCCATTCATGGTTATCTTATTTTTGTCGCCCTTTCTTCTTGGCTCTGCTTGCAACCGAGGGGTGTGATGACTGTGCTGTTGCAGTATTGGCATGTGTTGTCGGGGGATTTTGATTGTTCTTGAGTTTCATTTATTTGGTGCATTTTGATTGTGGATCAGTTGATTCATGGTTTGGTGCGTTAAATAGATGAAGTGTCATTGTAATTTCAACTGGTAGAATAGTTGGCAATGCAGTGTAGAAGTATTTACCAGCAGGTAAGGGTGCTGACTGCGAGTGTGGCTTTCGACGTTTGTTGGTAGTATGTGTCATAGAATTTGCAAGTCCATACCATGGCAGTTCTGAGTTTTAAGACGGATCTCCTTGCAAAAACTTACATGGATGGCCTGTCTGGAATATCTCTTTTGTCTACGACTTTTTCCTGGGTTCAATCTCGATTCTCCATACAGCGAAACGGGCGGACTAATGTCTTGGAGCAACGTGCGTCTGGTTCTAGCGCGGCGCACTGGACACCCAGCGATAGCGACTCGGTGGACCCCCGCTCTGGACGGTCTGGGTGGAACCGGTCTGGAATATCTCACTGGTCTCTGCTGTGATGCAAGGGCTCACCTATACATGGATATTCAGGGCATGTGCGGGTTGGACAAAGGTATTATGCTCTGCTCACAGGAGCTCAGGTCCGCGGAAGGTGTAATCTGTGAGTCGGAGGTCTATCATTTTTGAGATAGTTGTACTATAATTACTGATTACTGTACTAGTAGATGACCGACTGGTGTCGACAGCTTGCTGCCACAAATGTTTCGACTGTCAATTTGGGCTGCACGACAAAATCACAAAATACGTAACCTTACGATAAGCTTGCACCACTGGGTAACAGAGGTATCATGTGGCCGGGTTTGCTGCGTACATGCTGGCCCCAAGATTCACTTGCGGTAAGTTGTTGACTTGTACAGGGGCAACGTAATGCGTATAGCATGTGTCAGTGTGTACAGTAACTCACTAGTAAGCAATAAACCAGAAATACCAAAAATGGTGAATTTTCCACCACAGACTCATTACATTCTGGGGACAAAGGTGGGGCACAAGCCACGGCGCAGAATTTGCGCGATCGCAATCGCGCACAGGCGCTCGACATCGCGGCCTCTCTCTCGTTTGCCACGCAGAGGACGGCCTGCCTTTCTCGGCCTATTTGTGAGTTCTTGCAGGAAGGTTTATCAATATTATTCGGGATCACTGTGATACTTTTTAACATATAGCTTGATACCACATGTTTACTGCACGGGTTTTGATCGGCACTGACATGCCGCACTGCGAGGACGACACATTCAAGAGATCAAGTTTGCGATTCCGTCGGAAAGCGCTCAAGCAGATGCTCACGGAGTGGATCCTTGCTTGCTCCATGAAGGAGGGAGGTTTCCTCATGCTTGTTCTCGACCGGCTCTAGGATCAGCGAGTGGGTCAGTCCTCCCTTCGTCCGACTGCGAATTCTCGCCCACGTTTACCAGCACGACGCTCATGTCCGCCTATAAATGACGACCCGTTCTCCCCTTGCTAACGATCTCACAACCAGTATCTTGCTCATCGCTTCGCCCTAAAGTCACCTGTCGAACCAGAAATCTGCCCAGACACTGTTATAGCATCCGGACTCAGGTGATTTCAAATTGCTATCTATATATCTCACAGGAAATGGTCCTTTCTCACCAGAGTGGATGTCATTTTAGATTCAAATGGAACCCACCACAATGAACATCACCGCGGACACAGAGCGTCGCAGCCTAAATGTCGCCATTGTTGGCGGCGGCGTTGTTGGCCTTACCTGCGCAGTTGCTCTGCTTCGTGCAGATGTACATGTGGAGCTCTTCGAAGCAGCGGTAGGTTTATCAGATCTTCATCTTCTCGATATCCACGAATGTATCTTGAACAGGCACGATTTGAAGAGATCGGGGCAGGAGTAGGCATTGGTTAGTCGTCCGTAGTTACAAGACATAAACCGCCTAATTTGAATTATGTGCTCAGGAGCAAACGCTGCCCGGATCCTCGCCTCCCTTGGAGTGCTAGACGAGGTCCTTGTGAAGACGCAGGAGCCCGGACTAACCATGGGGTCATTTTCAATGAAGTCGGGTATGGATGAACACCAGCTGATCTACGAGGTGAGAACCCCAGGCCCAGAGGTCCGACACAGTCTCACTATAATCGTAACTTTGTACGCCACACAGTACCCCTGGGTTGCAGAGGATGACGGAGTCGGTGCCCATCGGTAAGTGAGCTCTGCATGCGAAAAATTGGAAGCCGATATGTATGGCCAAACAGCGCGTCTTTCCTTGACGCTCTTATAGCATTCATAGACCCGAAGTTCACGCATTTCCACAAACGATGCGTATCTGTGTTAACCTCGACAACCGAGTCCCCACGCCAAGTCATTCATTTTGCTGATGGCACCACACACGAAGCGGACGTGGTTATTGGTGGTGATGGCATCAAGAGTAGTGTTCGCACAGCAGTTACGGGAAGTTCTGAGACGCGTGTCGCCTTCAGCAACACTATTTGCTATCGCGGGTTGATCCCTTATGAGGCGGTCAAGGCGGCCGGTGTCAAAACCGACTTTGGGCGACCGATCATGTTCTTGGGTAAGGGCAAGGTATGAAGGTCTCATGTTATCCGGGACACATTTCTCACTCATGGGCCACCAGCACCTTGTTGTATTTCCTGTCAGGAACCAAGCCCTTGTGAGCTTTCATGATTGTGAGCGAGGGGAACTATGCATCTTAAAACTCCCCTCCAGATAAACGTCGTGGCGTTCGCTGCGGACCATACAATCCCCATCGGATCGGTCCAGCTACCTCCTGATCAACCCCGAGTTATTCTGGTGCCGCAAGAAGAGATGCTCAAGGAATACGAAGGCTGGGGTAATGACGTGATTGGGCTTCTGAGCTGCATTCCGAAGCCCAGCAAATGGTTCATTCATGTTGTGCATCCGCCTCTCGAATCCTATGTCAAGGGTCGTATTGCGCTTGTAGGCGATGCGGTGCGTCCCGTCCAGCTCCCCGCCAGATATAATGTCACTAACGTTAATCAAGGCGCACGGCATGCTTCCGCACTTGGGTGCCGGCGCTGGTCAGGGCATCGAAGATGCGTATGTAATCGCTGGCTTGCTTAGCAATCCACAGACGTCGCCCTCGAATGTCGAGGTACGTGGGCCTGGTCTACTTTCCTAACAAATCTCACCATTACCATCCCAGAGCGTTCTTCAGGCTTACGACCGCATCCGCCGTCCGCGTGCTCAGATGGTCTGGGAGGCCAGTTACAGAGCCGGTAGAGTCTATGATGGTTTCGGGGATCATGGCCTATCGCCTGAAGGGGTCGAGCAGGATATCGGTCGACAGTGGGACCCGGTGTACAAGCACGACATTGATAACGACATCGAGCAGGCCGTAGCGTGGCTCAAGGAGATGTTTATTTTTGCCTAAATAGTGTTGGCTTGTCGTACATGTATTCAATTCCGAGCTCAACGTGACAATGAGTATGCAAGTATTCTGTGACACATCATATGAGATGACATTCCCGGTCCAGGAGATAGTGTCGTACAAATACACTGCGTAGTAAACAATTAGACTCAAGCTCCGAAACCGTACAGAGTGCGCCCAGAACGCTTCAGTGCATAAACCACATCCAATGCGGTGACGGTCTTACTGTAAACAGTTTGAAATTCGTCAGTCAATGGCGGCGCAGGCTGAACCAGACACATACCGCTTAGCGTGTTCGGTGTATGTCACAGAATCCCGGATTACATTCTCCAGAAAGATCTTCAGCACACCACGGGTTTCTTCATAAATGAGTCCCGAGATACGCTTGACACCGCCACGCCGAGCCAGACGACGAATGGCCTGCAGTCATGGCGTGAATGTTAGTATGCAACTCGATAAGCAGACGTGGCGCTGCAGAGTGTCTCACAGGCTTCGTGATTCCCTGGATGTTGTCGCGAAGGATCTTCCTGTGGCGCTTAGCACCGCCTTTGCCGAGACCCTAGCATTTGTTTAATATCTCCGTGTAGGCAACCAACGTCATGTACTACAAACCTTTCCGCCCTTGCCGCGTCCAGACATGATTGAGGTTGTAGGTGGTGGTGAAAGCTAAGTTTGTGGGGAGGCCACCTACAGCGAAAGGTGACGATAGCGAGTGAAGGTAAGAGCCAAGACGCGTCGAACGCGTTTGACTTGTATATACACACGCGACGCGATTGCGCCTGTTTGGTTCGTCGCGTGATGACGCGCAAGCTAAGCGCCGTTTGTACTAATGCAGCCAGTCTTCGTTTGGCCAAGCTGCTTATGCCATACTGACGCTGTCTCACACTCATAACTTGCGTTGTGCGACGTTCTGCATTCCGTTCCACCATCTTCGCCTGGCCAACGTCTAGTTGATTCAGCTCTTTACTTAGCTGCACGAGTCCGGTTACCAGAACCCTCCTGCAGAAGTCAACGTCGCTGCAGCCGTCTTGTACAACCATAATTACTCATCATGTCTATCACGCACATCACGTCCACTACCCAGCTCAATAGTCTTCTGTCGCGGTCGAAGGAAAAAGTCACTGTGAGTGACTTACGCCTACGTGTGCGTGCCGACAGCTTCCGTACTCAATAGACCTGTAGGTCATAGACTTTCATGCATCATGGTAGGTTGCAAACATTCATAATCGGCATAATGCAGATGTTTCGTTAGGTGTGGACCTTGCCATCAGATTGCTCCTACATTCGAGGCCCTATCCAAGCAACACCGCAACGTCAATTTTTTGAAGTGTGATGTAGATGCTGCTAAAGATGTCGCGAGCATGTATCGTGTTACTGCAATGTGAGTGTGTGCGTCTGATTTTGCTGGCGCACTCCTTACTGTCACATTGCTTCGTGCTGGTCAGGCCCACGTTCATCTTTCTCAAAGGAGACAGGGAGCTTGAGCGTGTCAAAGGTGCGAACCGAACGTATGTGGTTTGCGTTTCCTACCCATCCCCGTGGCGTCCTGATTTACAAACGCATATTCGCTACACGAAGTCAACTTGAAGCGACAGTACGAAAGTATACCTCTGGCTCAAGTGGCAGTGCGTTCGCGGGCAAAGGCCAGACACTGGGTGGTTCTTCGCCAGCAGCACCTCAGCCCGAAGGTCCGGGTATCCTGGCTGCGTTTAACAAAGTTGACCCACAGGTTAGGATGCTCTTATATCTTCTGGTAGCGTATCTTGTGTTCTTGTATGTGAGTTGAATGAGTGATGTTGATTTCTGTCGAGTATCGCCATATACTCGACATCCGTACATGTATGTGGGTCGAGCGGTTTGTGGGATTCTTCGGCATATCATTGTCACTGTTATTGGAGTGTACATACGCGAGGGGACCCAAAGTTTATGCATCATGGGCGAGCAGAAGTCCGTATAATGACGATGTCATGAATGTACAACGCTAGCTAATTCAAGGACCGATAATTGGACAGTGGGAAGTACGGTCACGTGTTGCGCGCGTTTCGTGTCGGTGGTCCGTTTCTTCATGTCTTCGCCACCGCAACTTCGCTCCAATGACTTGCATGAACCTGCGTGACAACCTCTGCCCATAGCTTTCATTCAGATCTGTTGTTTGTATACTCTCACGTCCGACACACACTGTTGTCATCTTCCCCTCCTCTAGGCGTTCTGAGGTTTCAGGATGTCTACCGACTCCAACCGTGTAGCGGGACCTACTATCCCAGAAAGGTTCCTGGATGTTCCATCTCAAAGACTCTATGTCCTGAGTCTTGCAGCTCTGCTTCAGGTATGCTTGCTGCTATCTCGCGTCATCCCACACCCCACGAGCGTAGGCTTCTACAAACGTCACGCAGAACCGCCTCATCTCGTTGGTTTCAAGTCTGATTTTGTCGTCTGTTGCAGGCCATCAAACTGTTTGACTTCTTTCGTTTCCTGGTCACAGACGAGAGCCAAGCGTTATACGGAAGAAAATGGCTCATAGCTGATCTCTTATTCTGCCTATGTCTAGCGTGGCTTCGTATACCACGGCTCAGATACAGCAAATCCGTGGTTGCATTACAGATAATTTCTTTGTGGCTAGTCGACGGACTGATGTTTGGAGGGATCACGGTGAACCTCGGAGGGCGAAACCCGCTCGCGGGGATGTCCTTGACAAAACTTTCTGGTATGTTATGGGCTTTCATGTCTTATGGTGAGATCTGAGATTTACTGACGACGACGCGCATATGGTGCAGCAGGGCGAGGCGCCGTCACAACAACGTCAACGGCAGGATTACTGAGCTACCTGCCTGATGTCGGTCTGGGTATTCTTGGATCCGGCAAAGGTGACGATGGTCATCTCCTCGGTCAACATACTGTTCGCATGTCGCCAATAAGTACGGCCCGCTTGAACCCGTATGGGCAAACCTTTTGTCTCGCTTCTCCGGGCGACAGCGTGCTTATCCCTCTACTTCTCAACAATACGAATGCCTACAGCGTTCAGTATTCACTCGTCCCACTTGGATACAATGAAGATTCTGTCGAGGGGGAGAAAAACAAGGTCCCGCAAGTCGAGCGAATCGAACTTGCCACGAAAGATATGCATGCAATTGAACAATCCAGGCAGAAGGCGCTCCAGAGCACGCGCTCTGCTTCCAAGCGGAACCCAGACGACTTTGACGAATATGATGACGATGACGATGAAGAACTCCCACAGGCATTCCGCTCGCCCTCTCTACAGAAGACTCAGACACTGGTTCACATCCAGCTAAATAAGCCTGGCAGAATAGTGCTTGAACGTGTCGTGGACATTTCGAAGGTCGATGCGCGGTTAGTGTATCCAGGAGAGATCACTGTCGCTCCTTGTCCACGAGCGGAGTTCACGGATAGTGACGTCGCAGTTCGCGGAGAAGATGTACGTTGTGCATTGCCTGGCCTTAGAAGCGGTGCAGGCGAAGAACTCGAACTCGAGCTGGACGTCTATGGCGTCCCGCCACTCAGTCTCCGTTGGTACAAGGAAGTTGGTGGCAGAAGGGAGTCCTTTATGGTCGAGGGCATCGAGAACTCAGGACATGCTCATGGTCTCTCAGCAGATGACCAAAGAGCACTCGTTGCATCAGGAGGCAGGAGCCCCGTCGAGTTGAAGATCCCGCTACTGGTCACTCTAGATGCTCTCGGCACCCACACCTACGTTCTGGAGTCGGTGACAGACGCCCTTGGCAACGTCGTTCAAACAGGACTCGGACTCTCAACGAACAAGGAGTCAAAGACGCGTCGCTCCGTAACTGTTGTTCGACGTCCCAGTGTATCATTCCAGGGCTGTGGACCTGGTGTTCCCGCTCCGCTGCTTATTGGCTCGGCTGCTCATTTGTCTGTATCCGGCAAGGACGCTGATCCTCTCGATGCTCCTTGGGATATTGCCATTAGGTATCAGCCACCAGGTCCGGAAGAGCGCTCCTCCAGTAAGAAACTGAAGGCGTGGACGAAGAGCTTCCAGACACCGACCGATCAAAAAGAGCTCACCGTTCGCGCCGAAGTTCCTGGAGAGTACACGATCATGGGAGTTAAGGGCAAGTACTGCGAGGGTGATATCTTGAGCCCGGAGACATGCAAGGTTGTCGAACGGCCGTTACCTACGGCCGAGATTGAATGGAAGAAGATTCATGAATGGTAAGTAGTGTTTGGCATGGAATAGCGGCCCACAATTAACCGCTATCGGATAGCTCGGGAGACATAGGCGTGTCCGCCTCCCTCGTCCTTCATGGCACACCACCTTTCCATGTCTACTATCGTACGCAACGAGACAAGGAGTCGCCTGTGACACAGTCGAAGATGTTCGCCAGCTCTCGTGGGGAGCTCACAATACAACCAGATCGCAGCGGCCACTACGTCTTCCAGTTCGTGCAGATCAGCGATGCCAACTATAAGAAAGTGGACCTCAAAGGTCCGAGCATTGACCAAGTCGTCCACCCGCCTGCATCCGCAGATTTTGTCAACAGTATCCATGGCGGAAGGGGCAAGAAGCAAATCAATAGTTGTTCGGGTAGCCTGGTCGATGTTGATGTGGAGCTTCGCGTAAGTTCCTGCTGTGGTTGTATGCGCGTGATGCTGACGAGCAAGACGCTAGGGCACTGGCCCCTGGAACTTGGAGGTGCAAATTGTAGGCCCAAAGGGTTCTGAGATCGTGCGGGTGCCAGCTATCACAGCAGCTAAAAAGACACTGCAATTGCCAATACCGAAAGTCGTCGATAGGGATGGCGGCTCTTTCGAGATTGACCTCGGTTAGTTTCAATTCACCCGATATCTCATTGCTAGGAACTGATCATTCCTCAGTTAGCGTTGAGGATGCATACGGCTGCAAACGCGCCTTGTCTGTGCCAGGCATTGTGGTCAACGTCCGGAGAATTCAGGTCTGTTCCACCATTATATTCTTAGTACATGAATACCTACTCATGTTTCACACACATGGCTCAGCCTACTGCGCGATTCTATGGGAAAGACAATGAGCGTCAAATTACGACTTTGGACAACGAGCAAGCTAGCCTGCCACTTCGCCTTACAGGTGATGGAGTATGTGCCGAGCGCATCACCCTGTCGAAAGATGCTAATCACGTTTCGCTCAGCCATGGCATGTGAAGTACAGACGTGCCGATGCACCTGATCGCATACTGACAACCACTGTGTCGAATGCAAACGGGGAAATCCATGTCAGAGACAAGGGGCTTTACGAGCTGTTGGAGGTACGTGAAACACTGTCGATTGTTCTTCACAGAGCAAAGAGTTGACATCCCATAGATCGCGGACTCCCAATGTCCGGGCACTGTCATCACCAGCGGGGTTTCATACAGAGTAGATCACATACCTCGTCCATCGGCCAAACTCTCCTCAGAGATACGCTCCACCTATGAGCCATTCAATGGTTCCCATATTCTCCCACCTATCTGTGAAGGTGTCAACGACCATGTTGACTTAGATCTATCCGGTAGGTCAATACTGACCGCACAGTACACTGAGGCGCTGACCAACATTGTTATGATAGGACGTCCGCCATTCCAGATCATGTACAATGTTGCAAAGGACAACGGAATGGGCGGTACAAAGATTTTGGATCAACCAACATTCAGCAGCATCCAGCCTCGCACGAGCTTCCAACTGCACACGGACGAGGCTGCTCGCATATATTACGAGGTGAAGCAGATAGGTGATGCAGCCTATCCATTGGCCAAGAATAAGGATGCCATAATTCCTCGCTCGCAACGTCTCCTATTCGAGCAACAAATCCTCATGCGTCCATCCGCCCGATTCAAAAACCACAATCGCATGTCTTATTGTCTCTACGATGCATTCACTCCGGTCGATACTTTCGGTCAGGACGGGGTGGTGGCGCTGGAGGGTACCGCACCGTTCCAGCTCAAGCTATCGATCCGGAATCTAGCGACGAGCGCAATACACTATGCGCTGGTCGAGCTGCAGGACACAACGTGGCGACTCGATATTCCTTCATACACGTTCCACTCTATTGGCCCGCATCTTGTGACTATCGAGTCGGTTCAGGATGCGTCGCACTGCGAGCAGGCGGTCCCCGATCCGCTCTTCAGATCGATCTGGGTGGACATCGCTGAGACTGCAGCCATAGTACCATTCGACAGGAGACAGGACTTCTGTGTTGGTGAGGCCATCCAGTTCCAGCTGGAAGGCACACCGCCGTGGAGTATCGGGTGAGCGCCTACATGTGTTTCTCTTCCATGCCGATGATCGCTCATACGGGAACAGGTATACCATCAACGGCAAGGCGCGAACGCAGGAGGCGAAGATCTCCCCGTTCAGCATCGTTCAGCAACAGGCCGGCGATTTCACCATCAACTCCATCGCGCACCAGCAGAAGCAGTGCAAGACGGCCATCACGGACCTACGGTACAGCGTACATTCTCTACCGTCTGCAAAGGTCGGGGAGGGCAAGATGGTCTCCTCGAACATCCACGAAGGTAAACGTTCCTTGGGACCTCGGTGGCAGAAAGGCTGACACGTTTGCCCTATAGGTGACCAAGTCGAGATCAAATTCGAGCTGATCGGAGAGCCTCCGTTCACGTTCACGTACCAGCGGTCAGAGCTGACCACGAAGAAGGGCATGCTAGGTAAGGTGCTCGAGACACACACTGTCTCCGGTGTAACAACTAGGGAATATTCCATCTTTTCCGCATTGGAAGGTTCGTTATATGCGTCCCACCGAGCGGGCAAATTCATTCTAATCACCATCCGACACAGGTACATGGACGGTCACGTTCATCGCCGACCGCTATTGCCGTTATCCTCCAGCACAACCAGACGGTGTACTGGATAAGTTCAGATGAAACGACCAGTACCTCTAATTCAAAATATCGCTGCGCAGCAGCATCGAGAATTGTATCATTAGTAGATTTTGCCTTGCTGTGAATTCGTTGTAGTTGGACACGACATTGTTACTTTCAATTTCAGCATCCTCGCAATCATCATGACGGATTTGGCCTCACGAACGTTTCCCAAGCGCGACCCACCACTTAAATGCGAGCGCGTACCGCAGACGTAGACTACATCAAAAATATTGTTCATTTGCCCTGCGATTTTGATAGATACACGGTACTGCGGACCACTTATACCTGAGCAGACGAGATGTAGAACCACTTGGAAACTGGAGCACAGTGTCAATGTCGGGGCATCTCGAATTCCGGCGCCAGCCAAGTGCGGTACTTACTGGCAGGGTCGATCGGCCCAGGCGGCTTCCTCGAGTCCGTGGGGAGACCCGTGTACGCAGGGTCGTTCTTGCTGACGTGACCAGGCGAGTTCGGGATCGTCAGGTTGCGGCTGATGCAGGGTACAGGCAGAACGCCGTCCGCGTCAGCACGTCGTACATACTACAGCAGAGATACGCACATGGAAAGGTCATACGAGGGCGTCTTGGCGGGGCTCTCGCCGCTGACGAGGCGGCGCCAGGCCTCGTGGCACTCGTGAATGATCTCCGTCGCGTACTTCTTGTTCTTGGCCTCGCCGGAGAACGCGAACTGGTTCTCGGGCTTGCCGTCGGGGATCTTGTAGATGCGGAACCACTCGTTCGTCGCGCGCACGAGACCGGGGAGGTGGCGCTCGACATCCTCGATGTCGTTCAGCTTGGACGCGAGCGGGTCCTGCACGTCGACGACGAGCACCTTCCAGTCCGTCTCACCCTCGTCAAGCAGCGCCATGATGCCGAGCACCTTGACCTGCTTGACCTGCCCGACGTAGCCGACCTGCTCGCCGACCTCGCACACATCGAGCGGGTCGTTGTCACCGTTCGCCTTGGTCTCGGCGTGCGTCTGCGAGGGGTCCTCCCAGGTCTGCGCGGGTTATCAGTGAACAGGCGATACATTAGCCAAGAAAAATTGAGGACGTAGGTGCGTAGAATCTGGGGTCTGATGGATAGCTCGAGGGACCGGCTAGTCGACTGCTTAACACGTGCGACATGCACGTTGAACAAGCCTGCACCCAGGAACGGAGATCCTCGCAGACGAGACACGCTGTCACTTATTGCCCCACTGTCTCATATATGGCGACATGCTCTCCTTTGTAGACAGTGGTCGCATTACACTGGGGAGCAGGTAACAGTGTCTCATCAATGATGCGTGTCCCTCGAGGGCAATGAGACTCTGCTACCGGCAGACACTTAGCCGACAACCCGGACTGTCACAAGTCCCTTCTCAAAGGCAGGAATGGCACGCACCTGAGGGAATGCACCGTAGTTCCAGATGTAGCCGTGGTGGGGAAAGCAGTTGCGGACGAAGCGCAAACGGCCTCTCTTGATGTCCTGCTTGATGGGGTTGAAGGACTCCTCCTTGGAAATCTCCATCTTGGCGTTGGTCCAGCGAGGGACCTCGACGATCATATTGAGGATGCCATTGTTCTGGTCAGCGAAGAGGGGGATGTCGTGCCAGGGGGAGACGACGTTGCCGTTCTGCTCGATGAACACACGGTGCTCTGTGGATCGATGAGGGGACTTGCATCCTTGCTGTTAGACGCGTCTGCACTCACCCAGGGTGTTTGGAGCGCCAATGAGGCGGGTAGAGTATTCTGCAGGGTGTGAGCTCAACGTCGCGCACGGCGAGGGGATAGGGGCACGCACGGGACGTCATGGTGGTAGGGAATGAGGAGAAGAGACGGGCGTGATGCGACAGACGGCGAAGAGCACGACCGGCCGTCATTCACCTGTGCAGTGCGGTTTTATAAAAGAAGGTGGTGTCGATCGATGGCTCAGTCTTGCGATACGATCGTTTATTATCTCTCCGTATCTCTCCCCATCACATTCGCATATACTTGGCTCAATCTCGTCTTCTCCCCATCCCCATAAAGCATGCACTACGTATACAGCTGCTGTTCGTACATACATACGTCTGATTCGCACTGTGCCCTGCACCCAAGAGATGCGAAGCAATCCGCCCTACGTCAAGCCCCCCTGCTTCAAGATCTCCTCGCCGTCATTTGACCCTGCATTACCACCCGTTTTGGGCATGGAGAATCCACCGTTAAAGTCCAGGCGCAACAGCAGGCGTTCCACGTGTCGGCGAACCTCGTCGTCCCCTTCGAGGCGCCGTCCTCGCTTCGGTCGGAGGAACGTGTGGAAGCCAGTCGTGTTCGCCATGCTCACGCTATATAGCACCGACTTTGACGCGTCCGCAGTCGCCGAGAATGGCTGCTGTGTCGTGGACAGCGAGAGCTGCTCGTAGAATGTTCCAAGCAGCGTGTGCAATGTCTAGCACGAACGTTCGTCAGCTGCGTTCTCCGTGCGCTCAATATAGCCTTGTGCACATACCTCGTTGACCTCTGCGACGATGACTTTTCTTTCTTTGACCATCTTGCCCACATCGCCACCGCCAGCCAGACTACCTTCGGACAAGAGCTCAGGTAGAATGTCTCCGCCCCATCTCTCGGCCTGCGCGACAAATCGCTCACAGGTCTCGAGAATCATACGGATGATGGCTGTCAGCGGAGGGTTGGACAGCAAGCTGCCTGTGATCAGACGCTCCAGGTAGGTCGTATGAATGTTACGCAGTGTGGTAAAATCGAGGCTGGTTGATCCGGCGTTCGAGGAGCTACTCTGTGACGCAGGCAGGGTAGACGCAGAATGCGAAGCCTCGATCTGTCCGTCAGCTCCCTCGCTGCCAGGCGCCGGAATAGACTGGCCGCCGGTCGCGTGCTTCACGACGTCCGACGTCTTCTCGAGCAGCATCCCCTTGAGCCTCCTGAACTCCACATCCACAACGTCCGTCATCACATATCCCAGCAGCGTGTCCAGGAACCAGCTCATCTCGCGCACGACACCCCACCCGCAGCGCAGCAGCTCCTTGCGCGCGTTCAGATCCTCCTCGGTACCGCCCTCGCCGAGCCCTGTCCAGCGCCGCCGCGCCCGCTGTGCGTTCGAGAGCGCGGTCCAGCATGTGTGGACGCGTGTGTGTGTCTTGCGCAACGCGGAGAGGTACGCGAAGAGCGCACCGTACGCCTGCAGGTCCGACGTGTGCAAGAAGAGATCGAGCGGCCACGAGACGCTGTATGCGAGCACGAGCGGCGTGCCGAGAAGGAGGTCGTCGAACACGGTGGGCTCCGAGGGTGAGAGGGAGGTAGACTGGTCTTTGGGCAGGACGGGCGCGGTGATCAGGGATGGGAGCAGGGGTCGGAGGGGTCCCGAGGGGAGGCGGAAGCGCAAGTGGGAAAGAGATGGATCGTGTTGGGCTGTTGTGCCTAGCGAGGCACGGAGAAGTGCGAGCTGTAGGTCTTGTTCCCTGATCATGGTTGATGGCCCCGACCGACCGGTCAGCCGTGAGATCTTGAGCCGCTCAATCTCTCTAATAAGGGACAGCGCAAACTCTCCATTCCTGAGCAGGAAATAGTTGGCGCTGTGTAGTGGACTCGGTCAGATGTTCAAGGATGTATGAGACCACGTTACTCACAGCGAATCAACGGCGACCTCAACGTCCTTGCGGGTCAAGACGTTGTGCCAAAGCCACTCACTGACTGTCGTCCTGATGTCTGCAATGACTCGATCAAATGCGTACTGATCTTGCGGCAAGACTGTTTCTAGTAACTGCGTATGCTCGACAGCTAGGATGCGAGGGAACTGGCGTATCCACTTCGCCGCTTTCACAGTACCGATGGCGCGGCCGACGTACGCTATAGACTCTCTCGACTGTGCGGACAGGCACGATGGGACAGACCCTTCAAGCAGCGTGTAGTCCTTCGATGCCAGCGGGTCCTTGTCCGACACGGTCCCATGCACGACGAACGCCTGCAGCTGGGCGATCCAGACGCGCTGTACCGCATCACACAGCCGAGAGTAGATCGACGCTATCCGGTGTATACCCGTGTGCGAGCGCGTCAGGAGCAGGTCGACGAGCGGCCCCGGCTGCGCGTACCGCTTGTCCTGCAGGTCCTCGATGAGCTTCTCGAGGGCAGCGAGCGGAGCGTCCCACTCGGCGAAGGTGGCGCGGATGGAGGAGAGCGGGACGAAGGACCCGCTCGCGACGAGGCTCGCGTCGCGCCGGAGGACCTTCGCCTCGGTCTCGACGACGAGGTTCTCGTATTCGTCGCGGAGAATCTGGTTTAGCGTCGCACAGAGTGCCGCGATGTAGCGCGACGGCGAGCGGGAGAGGGTGGCGCATGCGTCCTTGATCTTGCGGTAGCGCACGGCTATCTGCCCGAGGGACTCGAGGCATTGCTGCTCGCCGGGATGCAGGAGGGGGGCGAATGCCGGATGAACGGTGTGGTCGGTGGGGAAGAGAGAGGATGAATGGCCCGCGAGAACTAGTAGGACTTCTGCGATCATAGTCAACTTGTGCCGTCAGGTATCATCCCTGTGTTGTATGCAGTATAGCACTCACCCAGGGCCTGTACGCGTTGTGCTCACCGTCGGTTGGGAGTCACGATTGTAACGATGTGAATATGCAGTTCACAGCCGCGTAATGTTCGGTCCTAATTGCATGTCATGCCTGGACATCCTCAGAGCGCGTAAATCGCACATGTAAGAGAAACCGAACGCGAACTCACCTCGTCTTGTATTTCTAAAGCGCGTCCGTCGCCAGCTGCCGCCGCAGCCGAGCGCGTCGCCCAAAGTGCACGTGATGACATATACCCGGGCAACGCGTCTGAGATCACCGTCTGCACTGCAGCCATCTCGGCGATGGACGACCACACACCACCCGGCGACACGCACGGCGGGCACGTCGAGCACGCCTACGCTGTGTCCCCTCCGCATTTTGCCTTTGACGACGCGTTCTCCGATGCCGACGATGCCGAGGAGAGGCTCGAGTTCTCACCCGAGGCCATTCGCGAAGATATCGCGAAGACGTTCACGAACCTCGACAAACACGTAGCGCAGGACGAGGCAGAGGATTTTGCGAGGAAGATTGGGCGGGCGGTCGCGCGGGTTCGGCACGGTCAGCTTCACGAACGAGGCCGATGCGGAGCGCGCGGTGCGTATGTTCAACGGGTACGTCGTCTTTGTTCTCTGTCTTGTTCCCTCCGGCATGCGTTCTGTGTTGTTGCCTCTGGCATGTCAACGACGCAGTGCGCATCGCGACGGCCAGCTACAAGCTGGTGGATGGTGCGCGTGGATGGGTGGAAGCTCCCCGCGGGCATGCGGGTGAGCCAATGATGTGCCACGCATTTCGAGATACACATGGAAATATATTTGGGTGCTATGCGAGCAAGCGATGTGTGGGAGGCTACGGGCGTCTATTTGTGTGACACGGGCGTGTTGTTTGCTGCGAGGAACATGATGACCGTGCAAAGATCAAGAGATAGGTGTGTAGGGGACATATAGAACACTGCAGGGGACATAGAGCACACTGCAGGGGACATATAGAACACTGCAGGGGACATAGAGCACACTGCAGGGGACATAGAGCACACTGCAAGGGCATCAGGAACATTGCAGGCGTCATAGAGCGCACCCAAGGGACACAGAAACACAGGAACATGACACCTCGACAAGGAGAACGAGACGGGTAAGCTACTTTCTATTGAATCTCGTCAATACAGTATTTACATTCCTGCTGTTGTCTGTACCCTCCCTCGACTCGCAGCAAATGCGCCAAAGTCATCATCCCGCGCACAATGCCCCTCTTCTCGCTCGTGCACGGACTTCCCAAACAAGTAGTTACCATTCCCGCTGCAAACAAGGCCGCGTTTTTGTGTTTTCTCGGTCGCATCCTGCCAATGTCCTGTTCCTGAGGGTCACAATAGTCAGCTCTCAATATGGCCAACGGGAAGCAAATTCCGCTTCGTGACATTGTGCTCGCCTGGTATGCTCGCAGGAAGCCTGGGATGGTCGCAAATGTCAGCGGCCCGGTCAGTGCTGCATCTCGGTTCGGGAGCGAGCAGCCTGCGCATTTGTGAGGTGTGCAGACATTCTCTGGGACTGACCGAGGCAAACACATTGTCCCATGCTGACGTTCCCGGTCCGTTTCGAGTCTGTGGATGGTCCTTGTTGTACGTGTGGTCTGTAATTCTGTTGATTCGTAGCACAATTTGAATCAGCTACGCTGTAACAGCCATGTCACCACTTACCAGTGGGATACTGTGCACTATGGCCTCGTAGAGTGCATTCGTATGGTCTCTTCACGGAGTCTTGTACAGCACAATACAATGCGCCATGTTCTCAGTTCCCGATTTGGCATGTACTGGTCACCGACAACTCCCGCAACTCCTCAAATAGCTCGCGCTCCGTTGGTAGGTCTCTCATCTTGTCAACACCGTGCTCGGGCATGCATTCTAACAAGACCTGGATTGCTGTAGGAAGCTTGCATCCAACTTGTATGATGTCCTGGTCAGTCTGGCTTGCAAGTTCTGGCAGAGTGGTTGAGACAAAGTAGCAAGAACACATCAATATAATGAGAAATGCGGCATAGAGACAGCATAGACATGGTGTAATCGGAGCTAACTTGCAGCGGCCAAACAGGCCACCTCTATAAGTATTGATGCTTGTTTGCAGCCACTTTGCCACCGCACGGGCCCAGGGAGTGCAAAACATACCAAAATATTGGTATGTTTCAGATGCTCGGCCGGAAGATCCAATCAGGAAATTGGAGATATTTCTGCGGCAAATGCCATGATACAGTGCACAGCGCATGAGAGTGTTATTCAGACATGGTCATATTACAAACACTAACTATAATATACACAATGGGTAATCAAGTGCGGAGCGGACATGTCTGTCCATTGCAGACGCAATCGGTGCCATCTGAGCGAGAGCGTGCAACACTGTGAGCGAGGGGCGGCCCGTGCATCGGGTTGTACATGCAGCCGGTATGCCATTCTGTCTCGCTAACACTGAATTCTCTTGATCTGATTCGTTGCCGCAGCTAGCTAGCGCATTCGCACCCGAACACAATGCTCATGGGTACACGGCGATGCCGCACAAGTGTCCTCCCTGGTATGCTGCCTGTTGATGTTCATATGTCGATGATTTATGGGTGCGCTGATGTGTTTTACCAGGCCGCTCATCCTGGTGCTGCCGAAAGGGGGTATATTGACAATGAGAATGCACTATAGTTATTACAACATGTATTACATAGCCTTTTGCGAGTAGCTAAGACGACAGGCATCCGGTTATGCGGGAGAGCTTGGCACGGTTTCTGTGACCGGAGGAGGACAGACAGGCAAACGTGCACAACAGCTAGACACAAGCAAGATGGCGGGATGTTAGACGAGCGCGTCAGGGAACGGCGCGTTGCACTGCGCGAGGGCAAAGCGGCCGCATCTCGGACTGGGATGCATGTGTGCGTACATTGCAGGCGCGGGATGTCTGTGCGCAACCCTGCCGGCGTATGAGTGCCGCCTTGCGCCACAGCAGGTGCGTGGTCTCGCTATCGTCGCGTGTGTTGACTCAGACTCACTTCTCTCTGCGCAACGTCGCGTCGACCGGCCATCCCACTTTCAGCTCCAGGGTGGGCATCAAAGAGCGCACGCCGGGCAGCTGCGCAGGTCTGGCCCGTGTTCCCAGGTATGCCGCGCATCGGCTCTTGGCCATCAACGCGCGAAGCACTGACGAGGGGTCTAAGACGACACCACACGCGCAGGGGAGCATTTGCACCTGGTGTTGCACCTACCATCGCGTATGGATGCGGCGCATACGCGCGAGCGTGCTGACGGATGGACGGCGCAGCGCGGGTGATCGGGCGCGGAGAACTTAGTTAGGCGCGTCCGCACCGTAGCGATCACGGGAAAGCGGGCGAAACAGGGGCTTGGGAAAAGTGCACGCATACGTGGGACTGCGACTTGGTGATTGCAGAATCTAAGCAGCGGCGGCAGCAGAGGACAGAGGACGGAGCGCGGGGAGGAGATATCATGACAGGGCCTCACCTCGTCTGGATCCTTGCTCGCTCTGTCGCCTTCCCGCAGGTCTTTGACCACGCGGCTACTGTGTCGAGGTGAGTTGTCCTGGCTGGCTGCTGTGCATGTATGATGGGGGTGCTTACCATGCGGGGCTGCTCACAGGTGACTGGTCGTCCGAGGCAGGATACAGACTGCCGGTCGTCTGTGAGAGACTCTGTGTCACACGCTAACAGACTCGACCGGGGCCATGCTCGTACCCCGACCTGCTGCCATCATCGTGCTACGTCGTGCTGGCTAGTTCTCCCAGTGCTGTGTTTGCCTACCGCGATGATCAAAAGCCCCGCCGCCTGGCTTGATGCGAAGGATGCGGACGGAGTCACCACGTAGAGATGGATATCGTGTTTCCAGGTACGTCGTGTTGTGCCGTCTTGGCCACCGATGTGTGGAATACTGAC